TTATCAATACTCTCCTTATTCAAGCTTTCGATTGCGAAATACATCATGCACAATGACGTCACACATAGTCGATATTCACATGGGTGTAGCGGCGTCTAAAGGCAACAGGGTTTGAGCCTTTTTGCTTTTTTATGTTAAATACTCTTCAAAATGATCGTGATATGTAATCATGATCTATATATTATATTCAAGGACACACAAGGTCATCGCGAACACCACAGCAGATTCGAATAACTCAAAATCGACGTAAATTTCGATAAGAGGAAATCAAATAGTTGTACAGCTTGTTTATTTCAGGGTTTGTTGTTTCCCTTTCTACAACTAACAGCCACCACCACCATGATAATAGCCACATGCTCCCTAACACCCTTAACACCATTAACAGAAAAAAAACAACTAATTAATAACACATCTTACCGAAACCGGTTTAACTGAACGTCGAACACTACACAGCAATTAAAATGTCCGTGTTCACAGAGTAAAAGCAAGATTGCAACTAACTTCTCTTCAGTGATACAACACCAAGCTTGGGATGTGGGTTTTCCGGCATAATGTTGCTGCAACGATTCTAGGAGCGACGATACGTAACAGACGTATTTTCCTCTTGTTCAGCGGCCAGGGATTTCAAGAATTCTGTTCTTACGTGAAACCTAATGGGGGTTGGAGTTTCGCCGAAGGGAAGGACCTATAGTGGATTCATGATCATGTGTCGAGAACCTAATGATATCTTGTGACTATTGGATTCTTGATATCAACGGGAAACCGAGTGTGGAATTCAAAGGATGTCCGCCTCTCGGAAGAAAGATGGACAGCCTAGAGGTGTCTACGAAACGTTAAATATGCATTGATTACTCAAGATAAGTGCTCCGGCCATCACGTGTTTGTTTTGATCAGGGGATTCTCATGGACCGTGCCCCTGGTTCTCATCACAACAGTGGAACCAAAATGGATGGTTCGGTTGGCTCAAACCCACTAGTAATCTATGGATTCCAACCAGATCTATGGACGGATGCGACAGATAATACATGTATTTTAATTCTACACAAGAAAGTAAAAATGAGTAAAATGTATGTATAAAACATGAAATTATATAAAGTAGATTACATAGTAATATAGTATTATGTAGTAAAATCGTTGATAAATTACTAGGATGACTGATGCTACTATAGAGTTTGGTTTGAGCACTGAATAACTGCTAGCCTTGAACGTGACTTCTAACTTAATGTGCATTCAGAACTCATTTCTCATTTATTCTAGGGGTCAGGTTTTTAAGAAATGTCTACCTTCAATATATATTGTGTTAAGGCAAGGGCGTTCCATGCCTTATGATACCTGAGATACGTTCATGAATAGTACATGTGTTTGTATATGTGTTCTACCCCAATACAGTGCCGATGCAACGACCAGAGTGAGAGAGAGAGAGAGAGAGAGAGAGGGAGGGAGAGAGAGAGAGGGAGAGAGAGAGAGAGAGAGAGAGAGAGAGAGAGAGAGAGAGAGAGAGAGAGAGAGAGAGAGAGAGAGAGGAGAAAGGAGAAAGGAGTGGGAGACAGTTCGAGAGAGAAAGAGAGAGAGAAAAAAGAATGGGTAGGGCAAGCAGTTAAACAGAAAGAGTATATTATATTTTAAAAGAAAATTTGTCAATTCGAAACACCAGAGTTTCACGTTGTTCACGAAGCAATTGTGAAGCCAGTGTTATGAATCGCTCAATTGTTGTTATGAAGAGTGCATGGGAGAAGGGACGAGTGTAAAGTTGTTAAGATAGTTGCTTTTTATAACATTATAACATTATAACTACATTACACAGTCATTACTTCTTCCATATTCAAAAACTTTTGAGTTGCATTCTTAGTCCCATTCAGTAGTTTGTTGTCAAAAAAATTCTTTCGTACCGCCGGTCATGTACAATGAATTAAATAAAATCGGGGGAGGAGGTATATCCATAGATAAATATATAGATAAAAATATGCGTGTATGTTTGTGTGTGTGTGTGTATGTCAGTGTGCTTGTTTTGTGTGCGTGTGTGTGTGTATCCGTGGGCTTGTCTTGTGTATGTGTGTGTGTGTATATATATGTGTGTGTGTGTGTGTATGTATGTGTGTGTGCGGGCGTACATGCGTGCGTGTCTGTATGTATAAGTATCATATTTCCATTTCTCCAAACTTTCACCCAACCCAAGGAAAGACACAGAATGAAAGATACCATAAATATATTTGCATTTTTTTATCGTCACAATAAAAAGTTAAAACATAAAATCATAAAATCAATAAAAACATAGAATCTATTTAAAGCAAGTAAAAAACATTCTTTGGACAGTTCTATAACACTTTAATCGTATGCATATTAAGGCCTACTACACCAGCCCACGAGTGCTAGGAAGATGAACATAGCTGAAAAGAAAAGAAAAAAAATCTAAATAAATAAATAAATATATTGTAAAAAATATATGAAAGAAATGAAGGAAGAGGAGGAGGAGAGGGAGAAAAAATAAATTGTATGAATT